AGAGAGAGAGAGAGAGAGAGAGAGAGAGAGAGAGAGAGAGAGAGAGAGAGATTGAGCTAACATTAATCTTATTATATAGTACTAAAAAATCCTTATAGTTGTTGCTCAGATTTGCCATTTCAATATAGTCATAAGCTATGGCAACGCCAGCACTTAAATATTGGATGCCATCACGATGCCATATAATTCCATATCAAACTTTATAATCATGTAACATGAATGTCTAGTCGTCCATACCATTTATAATCCACTTGATAAAATTACGCACTTTTGGAAATAATATAAAAAAATACGGAATTTTTTGGGCCCAAATTAGTGAATACAGTTGACCATGGATATTACGGATTTGTTTGATTAACTGATTCCGTTCCTTTCATTTCAATGTACGCTTATTTTGTGTATATTAGCAGATTTTATCCATCTAGGAGATCGCCCTGTAACCTCAACATAAAGGAGATTTATTTTAAAGAACATATAACTCAAATTCATTCTCCAACAACTCCAATCACGTCCGGACTCGAGCTTGCTCAAAAAATCACAAATTAAAAATAGGTTACTATTGATAAAACTATAGTAGATAAATTAAATGAAAAGATTAATCCATCTCCTTTATTCACTTAAAAATTAACATTAGCACCAAAAAACTTACTTGTGACCACATAATAATCCCCATAAATTTCAACGACTATGCTCATGTGAGAGAAAATATGAATTTAAAGGAAGGAAAGAATGAATTCACCAACACTATGCTACCTGGACTCGGATATGGGTGCGTATCGGGTGTGGAGATATGAGCGTCCGACTCGTCAATAGTTTAGAAATCTTGAACATTTTAGGCTAAAATGCCACACCCGACACTCATACCCACACTAGTGTTGACACAACATGACACGGGTATACTTCCTAAATAGAAGAGTCCGGGTAACATAGCACCAACATACAGCACAAATACAAAAGCTAGGCAGTATAGGCCATCAAACAAAAGATTTCAGAATACATAAACTCAGTAGTCCATACACTAAACAACACATTGAAAATCAAAATATAAGTATTGATTTTTTGTAATGCACATACACCAAACCACTCACATTCCCATGTGATTGACGGCAACAGGGCATGAATGAATATTTTTGTGTTAGAGAGAGAGTACATTTCGTATTTACTTTATTAATGCTCTGGTACATTTCTACTATGCATGGAGCTCTGAAGCAAGGTTAACCAAAAACCACTCAGGAATTTCAGAGTTCTAGATAAATCCACCGTATGGCCATACCAACTAGGCAACCACATACTTTTTCATAAGCCCTTCAAAATGATATCATGCATTAACAAATCACGGTCAAAACACAAAATCCAACGAACCATAGAAAATATAAAAAAGAAGTACTAGAATGCCAATACAAACCTGCTGCCTTATAGGTGTTCCTCCATAAACAACAACTACCCTGACACCAGTTTGATAGGCGAACTTTCTAGCTTCATCATGTATCTGCAATCCAAAAAATCAACAAATCCATCAAAACAAAACAAAACAAAACAAATCAGAAGCACCCCAGAAAACCACAGTACTTTCAAGCATTTTCACTAAATCAAACAGCCCACCTGCATTGATAGTTCTCGAGTCGGTGAAAGAATAAGAGCCAGCGGGTAAACTGTACGAACCCCACGAGGCCTCTGAGGCAAATGACCCTTCATAATCCCACTGATAATTGGGAAGCAGAAAGCAGCAGTCTTTCCCGACCCAGTCTGAGCACAAGCCATCAAATCCCTTCCTGCCAGAGAAATCGGTATTGCATGCCTCTGTACCGGAGTCGGTTTCACATATTTGCACCTACGGATATTCAGATTAACCAACTCCCCTAAATCAATCTCAGCAAACGTATTCACAGGTGGTGGCACATTATCCCCACTAGTCTCCACGGGAATATCCTCGTAAGCATCAAAGTTAATTCCCGTGTTTTCCTGCTCATTAAAAACTTGCTCGGCATCAGAGTCCACGCCATCATTGCTGAAAGGGTTGACCTCCCTTTCACGACTGCCACCTCCCCAACTACCTCTACCCCCACGGCCACCACCTCCTCCCTGGCGCCCGTAATCGGTTCTGGAATTTGCCCATCGCGACCCGCCTGTGGGTCCACTGTAGCCAGACCTATCGTTGCCAGGTGTCGGCCCACCAACTGGCGGGTCTGATGCAGGTCTGTTCCTCAGGTGGGGAGGGACATAGGCAGGCTTAGTGGGAGCTGGCGGAAGCTCGGTGTTGCTGCTAGTCCCAGCTTTATCAGAAGACCCAGTTGCTGCATTTTCAACAGCATCTGCCCATGAAGTTCTCATTTTCTCAATAACAAGTTCCTAAAAAAAAATCTGCAATTTTCCAAAGATGGTTACTTTTTTTATATCACGCGTGGAAAAGAAACAGAAAAAAGCAAAACCCATAACCAAGAGCAAAAAAATAAGATCATTGACCGTGAACCAAACCAATTCAATAACCAAAAAAAAAAAGAAAAAATGGAAAGCAAAATCAACATACAAAATTCTCCACCCAATAAAATCAATGGGATCAGTTGTTAAAATGTAAGTGCAGCGGAAAACCTGGCTAGAAAAAGCAAATCCACACTCGTTTGGACTCAACCCAAACAAAAAAGATGAATTCCCCAAAAACATGAATACTCTGCAAATTCTATGAAGGCGTGCAATGTGTGGACATGAATATACCGTGTGTATGCATGACAAGAACACGCCTACACCGTGTCTGTGCTTATATACAGTAGAAGGACCAACCTGAGAGTAAAGATCAGTAAAAAGTCCGTTGGCTTTGGCGAATCTTCTAGGAGAAAGACGAAGAGAAAAGAATTATGAAAACCCTAGAGCCAGAAAATATAGGAGAGGAACACCAAATCGGACCATAAGCCGAAATAATAGGATTTCGGATTATTTCTTACATTACATTAATTATTTTACTATATATTCAAGATGTAATTTTTTCAGCAAACTGTATTTTTTCTGTTGCCCGATTAATTCATGTGAACTTTGACTTTGAAGTTACTAGTTTTTAAACACTAAAAAACTTAGGGGGCGCTTGTTTATGGATTTTTTCAATCAAAATATTTCATTTTGTTAACTATAGTTAAAGTTGAAAAAGTAATGTGGTTAATTGTTAGTGGAATTTAAAAAATATATTAAAATAATATTTAAAATAAAAATGATTAAAGTTGATTTGATATAAAGTAGGAGATAAATGATTGGAAATGATTGGTAGTTAAAATTATGTGAGTGGATGAATAGTGAATTAAAGTTGATGTGATGTGTAAGAATGATTGGTTTTTATTATTTAATTGTATGAATAATATTAAAGATAGTGGGGTTGAGTTAAAGTTGAGTTAAATATTTGAGTTGAAAAAATTGGATTGAAAAAATCCATAAACAAGCATGCCCTTAATAATTTATATTATATAAATATCTTTTTTGTTTTTTTTGTTTTTTTTTTTT